GAGCAAGAGTGGCCCCAGCCTCCCCCCCCCCCCACCCCGGATCCTGTTGGGCCGTAGTGAGGTCAGCTGGATCCCCCGGGTCTGGGCTGGCTGGGACTGACCTCACCTGACAGGGAGGGGCTGGCACCCTGATATCAGAGCATGTCCTGTTCCCATTTCCCACCTCCCGCCCTCTGTCTTGCCCACAGGCCTGGGCTCCTGAATCACTTTCCCTGCCGGGCAGGACCCTCCCCATCAGGCTTCCAACCTGCTCCCAGGTAGCTCCTCCCGTGGCCAGGCACCTGGCACTGGAAGAGCTGAGGACCAGCCTGTGGCCCAGCCTCCCAGCCCTGAGCCCCGCCCAGCCACCTGGCCCCTCCCCCAGCCAGAGTCCACCTGTACCTCCTCCACCTCCTGCAGCGTGTAGTGGCCTCCAGGGTCCTTGATCATCGGGTGCACACGGGCTCCTGGGGGCAAGGGCAGAGGGAGTGGTGAGTGGTCCCTGGCACACGGGGCGGGAGCCAGTGTTGGGGTCAGTGGCCGTGCTGAGCAGGTGGGCCCCTGAAGGCCATCCCTGGTGCCCCCCAGCTTCTACACAGAGGAGGAAGGTGGGGTGCCCTCCATGAACCCAGGCTTCCTGGGTGCTCTGGATGAGAGCGGGTCACTCAGATGCGCTGTCGCCTCCCCAGGCCCCTTCCCCGAGCCCAGCCAGGTCGGGGTGTTCCCGGTCCTTTGCAGCACTCCTCACACGGGAAATAAACAAGGGCTCATACTGGGTCCAGCTGACTGGGAATTCCCAGCAGAGGATGGCTTCAGAGGGGCCTCAGTGTTTGATGGGTGATTGGATGAAGGAGTGAACGGCTGAGAGTGGCCTGAGCAGGCTTTGCCGTCTTGGGGGCTGAGGCCCCAGGAAGGCAGCCCCGCTCCTGCTCCTCCTCTCTGGAACCCACGTGCCCCACACACAGAGGTCCCGGAGGCACATGTGAGGCGGGGAGGCCCCAGCCCCTCTCAGCCTTAGGGAGGGCCCAAGGCCGTGGGCGTGTGGGGTGGAAGCAAGAGAGGGGTTTGCCCCTGCCACAAGAGCACCCAAGGTCCACCTGGGGTCCTGGCCTCTGCCCCAAACTGGTGCCCCTTGAAGACCAGAGTGTGGACCGAAGGGGCCCAGGTGAGGGTCGGGACCCCTTTGGGGTTTGCCATTAACCAGGGTCGAGGGTGGCCAAGTGAGGAGCTGCCCAGGCAGGAGCTCTGGGTCTTTTCAAACCCAGCATCAATCATTAAACCCAGTGACGCCCCTGAGCTGGACTTTCGTCTCTCTCTTTGGAAAAATTTACTCGGGAAGTAGAAATCCTGTCCAGACCTCCGTGTTTTGCAGCTCCAGAGATAGAGCTGTATGTGAGATTTTTGAGGGAGGTATTTTGGCTTCTGAAACCCTGTCCTGTGACAGAGCGGAAGTGACCCACCTGGGGACCTCAGGTGCTGCTGGGGACTCTCCGGGCTTAAGCTGAGACCAGAGGAGTTCCTGCAGGGCCATCCCCCCATGTGCTCCAGAAACAGCTGTCCCCAGACTCTGAGAAGTGGTCGGGGGGCCTTTGCGCACCCAGAAGCCCACTTGGAGGAGGCAGTAGGCTTGTGGGTGGTGGACGCATGAAGGGCCACAAAGAGGGGGGCAAGTCTTGCCTGGGGAGGGGTGGAGGTTGGCCCCTGGGGAGGGGAGGCTCCAGGCTTCATGCTGGAGGAGCGAGGTCTTTGGTGAAGGATGGAGCTGGAGGCTGCACCCACCCTCTGCCCGTCTCTTACCAATGCGCTCTCCGATGTCTGCAGCCCGCTGCCCCCAGACGCCGTTGACCCCAACCAGGAAGGGGTCCCCTGGCTCCAGGAGGTTGAACAGGGCTGCCTCCAGCGCACAGTGCCCCGAGCCACTGACGGCCAGCGTGAGGGGGCTCCTGGTCTGGAACACGTACTGGATGCCTTCCTTGATCTCGTCCATTATCTGGGGGTGGTGGGCACCCAGGTCAGAGCCTGCCCCTCCCCTCCACGGTACGGAGGCAGCGCAGGGACTGACCGCTGTGCCCCCCGGCGTCCTACCTGGAACATCTCCTTGTGCATGTGCCCCACCATCTGCAGCCCCCCAGCCGCCAGGACGCGGGGAGGGAGGTTAGAGGGTCCGGGCCCCAGCAGAAGCCGGCTGGGGATGGACAGGGGCTTGCGCAGGGCCTCTGGGGGGGGCCACCAGCAGCCGGTGGGAGGCCATGGTCCGCACCCAACCTGCCACCCTGGGCCCCAGGGCCACACTGGCCGTGGTCAGTGCCCAGAGCATTTCCCAGCAGGCCCTGGGCCGGATGGCGGGCGGGGGCGGGTGGAGGGTGGTGTCCAGGAGCCGAGGCTTTGGCTGGATGGGCTGCTACCGCACCTGCTGCTTTTTGCTGTTTGTCGTTGTTCCCTGACCCGCTATCAATGCTTGTCCTGACTGTCCAGGCCTGGCAGGCAGCAGGGGTGTTGTACCGTCGGTGGGGGAGGAGGAGCCTTCAACGTCCAGTCGGTGAAAACCAGCGCTCGGTGAGCTGTCCTCTGCCCTCCAGCCCCCTCCCGCCCCCTCCTCCCGGCTCTCTGCTGTCCTGGGCGGATGCCCAGCTCAGTACATCCTGCTGGGCTCAGGGGCCCCAGAGTTTTCCTTATAGGGCCAGAGAGCAAACATTTCAGGCTCGGCTGGCCTTACAGGCTGTGTCGAAGTCACTCAACCCTGCTGCGGTGGTGGAAGAGCAGTTATAGTGGTGTGGCTGCGTGCCAATAAAACTTTATTTGCAAAAAAGCATCGGACCAGATTTGGCCCAGCGGCCGTAGTCTGCAGACGCAGGCTTGGCTGATGGAGACTCAGTTTAGAAAATACAGGTGCCCCGTGTGTATAAACACACGGGCACACACTGAGGACGCATTCAGTCCTGACCCTTCTGGAAGAAACATTTCCTCTGCCCCTCACGCCGAGGGCCTGGCGTTCAGTCTTCACACACATAACTGAGGGGTGCTCGCTGGGGAGCCTCCCCACCTACGGAGTCAACAGGTGGCGGAGTAAACGCAACCGGAGGCTCCCCGCAGAAGGAGCCGGCCGCGAGGGCGCCCTGCCTAGCAGAGCTGCTGGGACGCCGGACGCCGGAGGAGCCCCGCGGCGTGGGTGAGCACATGAAGCGGCCCGGACCGGGCGCTGTCTGAGCAGCCACACGCTTCTTACAGTCCTCAAGGGGGCCGGCTGGGAGCTTGCCGCGGACTCTGCTCTGCCTTAGGGGTCTGACACCCGGGCCGCAGCCAGAGAAGCGTCCCGGCTTTCACAGAAGCTTCGTGGTGGACAAGGATGGAAGAACCTCCCCTGGGACCGGAATGTGACCTTCTACCACGAGGACTCGCTCCACAGCTCAGCAGAACCCCCTGCCCAGCACTTGTCCTGGGCTGGGTTTGTCTGGTGCCCCTGGGCTTCGAGGACTCCATGAGCTTTAGCCAGGCTGGACAGTCACAGCCTGAGCACACAAGGACCCCCACAGCCCTGCTGGGGTAGTGGCACTCTGTTCTTCTGACGGACCAAAGAACAGACAGAGGGGACACGACCTGAGTGGTGGACAGAGAGCAACTCAGGGGGCCCCAGGGAGGGCGACCAGAACGGGGTCCCTGCTGGCCCAGGGCAGGCATGTCATGCCACTGGTTCACCTGGCCCTCTCCAGCACAGGGAGGCCCAGTGGGCGCCCCTCCCTCCCCCCCTCCCCTACCCTCTCCCCCTCCCTCACGCCCCTGACTCCTTCCTGACCAGGCAGTCCCTGTGGGGCCAGGACCCCATCTGGCAGCTCCAGCTGAAGCAGTGTCAGCAGGCGGGAAGTAGAAGCCTTACCAGCAGCCTGCAGGTCGGGAGAGGACCTGGGTACTGCGCCAGCCTCCCGGGAGCTGAGACCCCAGGAGAGGGGACAACCCCAGGGGGCTGCCTGGAAAAGGCCTAAGGGGAGCAGTGGCACCGGAGCTGGGCCTTGGTGAAGGGCAGTGGACCCACCCCAGGGTCAGTGAAGTGGTGAGGGCTTACCAGGCCGAAGGAATGGGGCACAAAGTGGGAGATCTGCACAGCCTGGAGGCCTGTGTAAGGAGGGCCTGTGCAGACCCAGATAGAGCCCGCAGCCTCAGGACCTGCCCCACCGTGGCATCTGGGGCCTGGGGCTGGCCTGGTCACGCCTGGGCAGCACTGGGCCTCTGGGGTCATGTGTAGTGTCAGCCTGGCCCAGGCGCGGACCTGCCATGGGAGGTGAATCCTTCTGTTCCAGCGGGCATCAGCCCCATGGCTATGTCCTGGGCTGGGGACACACTCCTTCCTGAGGATCGCCTGCCTGCCAGGGGCAGGAGGGCCCACCTGCCCCAGAGGACAGCCCCTCCCACCCCCGGCTCGGCTCTGGCCCTGGCCTCCTTGTCTGCAGCGCCACTGAGCTCCTTTTCTCAGCAGCTGACCCCCTTCCCTCTGGGCCTGCCCTCCGCTCCCCAGGAAGCCGCGCCACCTGGACCCGCTCATGGGCCTTCACTCTGATCGGAAAATGCACCCGTGCCTCTGTGTGTGCTGTTCCCTCTGCCTGGGAAACTTGATCCTTTCTTCTCTCAGAGCTGCGGCCACGCCTCCCTCCAGGGAGTCAGTGCAACTGTCTGGAGTGCTCAGTGCCTTTCTGCCAGGCCATGTGCCTCATGGGTCGCCCTGTCTGTGCCCGGCCTGCCCCCTCGGGCAGGACCTCGCTTCATGCAGCACGTGGTAGGGGCAGGAGAAACCTGGGCCTGGGCTTGGCTGACCTGCCCTGGCTGGTCAGCAGGCGGGTGCAGCCCAGGGAAGCCTTGGAGGTGTGTGTGCTTTGTTCCAAAACAGGAAGGTGTACTGAGTTCAGGTACCTGTGACCACGAGAGGAGCTGTTGTAATCCAGAGAGGCACATCCTCAGCCTGGGAGCACATTGGGAGCCGCGAGCCACTGGTGCCAGTGGACAGTGCAGCAGGTAACGACCTCTGTCTTCCTCCCGGTGTCCTGGAGACAAGGGCCACCTGGCCAGGTGGGCCAGGCAGTGTTGGCCCCGATGCCAAGGTCACCGCCCTGGGAACCACGTCTTGTAGCTCAGTGAGGACTGGCCGGCTCCCCCTCCACAGCCAGGCTGGGCCCTGGGCCAGCAGCCACGGGGCCTTCGGGGCGTGCAGTCCAGACCAGCGCTGGGTGCCTGCCCTTCCCCTCCCCGGGCCCCCCAGGCCCAGCTCCCTGCGGACCAGGGGTGTCTCAGTCCTCCAGGCAGGGCTGCTGCCTGCCGCACATGCCACAAACTGAGTCTGTCTCCTAAATTTAACTTCCGGTTTTCCATAATTGATGCGAAAAGCAGAAACAATTGCTTTTGCCTGTGGGTCTGCACCCCGCCGTGCCCCAGAGCCCTAGCGTGAAGGCAGCCCGGTGCCATCTGCCCCTTGGCGCTCCAGGTGGACAGCGACCTTGTCTGCTGGTACCGATGGCTTCTCGTCCCTTCCACCCGCTGGTGTCTCCACAGAGGCTGTTTTAAACCTACGGCTAAGCCAGCCTGTGCAACATCCCATCTGCTCACGTTTTCACAGACAGCCCAGACAGGGAGGGAGTGGCCCGAAACCCGCAGCCTCAGCCAGAGCGGCAGGACCCCCAGGGCTGCCTGGGGTGAAATGCAGCTCTGCCTCCGGGTGTCCAGGCCCGAGGTGCCCTGGCCCGGTCACTGTCTGAGTGGTGAGAGCAGCTGTCTGCTGGGAGGAGGTGGCCCAGAGCCCGTCGGACGGAGCAGCCCCCGCTGAGGCACGACATCCCTGGGTATCGCCTCCTCGTGCCCCGGGAGGTGCCACAGGCCCAGCCTCTTGATACCATTCGTTAACTCCCCGCCCAGCCCCGCCCCCACCTCCTCCACCCCGCCCCGCCCCGCCCTGCTGGGTGCTGCTTCTCTGTCGTCCGGGCGCCGGGGCGCAGGAGTGCAGGACGCCAGGCCTTTGGTGTTTGCACGTGTAGCAGAGGGCCAGGATCCCGGCCTCGACGCCGCGTGGGTCGCCCTGTCGGTGTCCGGCCACGGTGGAGCAGGACTGGGCGGGCCCCAGGGCTTTGTCTTCACAACCATGCGGACCGGACCGCGGGAAATTTCGCAGCAGACACTTCTCGCTGGCGCAGGTGGTCCTCCAGGCGCCGAGCGGCCAGCAGGCGGACCAGTCCCTGGCCGCGTGGTGACAAAGGATGAGCCACTCACAGCAACGAGTGCCCACGTAGAAACGAGCAGCCCGGCGACTGTGACCGTGCATCCCTGGGCTCCCGAGGCGCCTGCCCCGTGTGTTGAGATTCTCAGGGCCTCGTGGGGGCTCTGCCCCTTTCCCATTTGGGAGCCTGGGGCGCTGGGTTGTTTACGATGTGACAAGGGTGGCAAACCCTAGAGGATGCTGGACACAGAGCCCCAAGCCTGCCCTGTGAAGTGGGAGCTTTGGCCAGGCTGTGTCCAAAGGGCCCTCCCACCGCCACCGCCTGAGCCCCCGTGGGGCAGCTGGGGTACCAACTGGCCAAGTTTACAAGGAGATAAAGAGAACCTTTTGAGCAGCTGCTCTCACCTCAGTGGGTGTGATCTTTCCATCCTCGGGGACTGCACAGCTTGTCCCGCTGGTCCTCTTCAGCCGTAAAGGCAGGGCCCAGCGGGGAGGCAGCACCCAGGGTCAGCCGCCTCTCTGCCATGGGCCCTACGCTTGTCTGAGCACCCAGGTCACCTCTCATCTGCATCCTTCTCAGGAGAGTATGGGCTGAGGGCACCCTGCCCACTGAGGCCCGGGAAGCCAAGAGGTGTCTCGGACCCTAGGCTTTCCTGTCCAGGCCTTGATCCCCCGAAGCACTGCCCACTCCTCGGCCTCCCCTGCCAAGCTGAAGGAGCTCTGGGAGCGCCCCTCCCAGACGGAGGGTGGGCCGCGTGGAGATACCTCTGAGGGCGGCCCCCAGGAGTCTGGGCGTGACCCCTGAACTGTGGAAGGCCCCAGAAGTCAGAATTTCAGGGATTTGGGGGGTGACTTCTAGCACTCGGTTGCCCACCCCTGATGGCAGGCCCACACCTGGCTGATGTGAGTTTTCCTCGGTGTTGGGGGTGGTGAGGGCAGGGGGCATGAGTGGCACCCAGCACTGTCCTCCTGAGTCCACTCTGGATTCCCGGAGGAGACAGGTCCCCTGGCTCCGTCCTCAGGACTCTGGGAGCCCCGCACAGGGGTTGCGAGCAGACTCCTCATGGGGCCGGGAGAGGAGGGTCCTGGCCTCCTTCCTGGAGGTGGTGGTGTGGGGTGGGGCTCAGCAGCTCTCTGCCCCGCCTGGACAGAATCCGGGATGCACGTGCATCAAGGGCTGCTGTGCGCAGGGGGCCCAGGGTTGCCAGGCACGCAGGTGCCAAGCACTGCAAGGCCTCCGGGCCCTCATCACATTCCTCTGGCTCAGGACTCAGAATTTCAGGGAGTTTCTCAAGGCCCCCACAAACCTGAGCGCTCCCCTCGTGCCAGGGCGGCCATCACACTCTTCTCTGAGCTGACCGTGGGATCCAAACCAGAAGGCGGGGCTGTCTGTGAGAGCTGCTGCTCAGCGCAGACGCAGCTCTGCTGGGGTTGGTCCTGCTACTGTGTGCCTTCACCAAGCCAGCACTCCCAACGCCAGCAGACCTGCCGTGGTGCCAGGAAGACAGGCACCTTGCGCCTGGATCTCAGTGATTTCAGGTGTTGTGGTTGGTTGGTGTCCCCCCAAAATGTGTGTTCCAGTTCTAGCCCCCGGGACCTGTGAATGTGACCTTATCATAGGGTCACTGCTGCTGGAATCAAGGTAAGATGAGGTCACCTGGGGCAGGCGGGCGCCCACCCAGTGAGTGGTGTCCCGACAAGGAGCAGGATACTCAGGCACAGACACAGACACACAGGAGAGGCCACGTGACGACGGAGGCAGAGACTGGAGGGACGGGGCCACAAGCCAAGAGATGCCAAGGACTGCCGGCCGCCAGCGGAAGCTGGGAGAGGTGGCAAGGATCCTCCTCTAGAGGCTTCGGAGGAGTGTGTCCCGGCCCACACCTTGACTGTGGATGCCTGGCCTCCCGAGCCGGCGGAGAGCACATTCCTGCTGTCCCTGAGCCCCCAGTCTGGGGGACTTGTCTTACAGGCCCAGAAAGCTGATGCGTCAGGGAGCCCCTAACACCTGGGACTCACTTTTGGGTTTTGCTGTCAACAGCTTTCGTGCTGAGGGCTGGGGTGCTCATGGCCAGGTGGGCACCCCAGCCGCCCACTGCCCGTTGGTGCCCGGGCACAGCTCAGCGGCCTGGGCCCTACCACCTGGGCATGGCCCCCCCGGGGGCCCATCCATGTCTCCTTCACAAGCCTCGCTCTTCTCTTCATTCTCACACCCCCATGACTCTCGAAACTGGTTCAGCAAACACAAAAGTGGAAATTGTTTTCTGGCTACGCAAACACTCCGATGATGACAGGAAGCCGTCCCTGTGGCTGCTCAGCCCCATTGAAGAGGCTGAGGAAACACAGATGGAGCCGAGTGGCTGTGACCAAGTGCCCCGGCACCTCCCGGCAGGCTGCCAGCCCAGCCCGACCTCCGAAACACACCCCAGCTCTTATGGAAAGAGCTTGAGAAACGGCCCTTGTGGCTGCAAGACTTGGCCCACGTCCCCAGGGACTCTTGTGCCCGCAGGCCTCCCTTGTCTGACCCTCAGAGAACGTCCTAAACTCGGTCATTTCTAGGGTCCGGGGTGGGCGCTGTCGGAGGGGTCTGAAGACGTGAGTGCACCTGCCTCTTCTCGGGGCCGGGCCCTGATCCGTCCTCCCTGGCCGGTCCTCTCCGCGGCGGGGGACGCGGGCGCCCACACTCACCTGCACCTGGGAGTTCAGGAGGCTCGAAAGACACGGTACGTGGGAAGACTCTGCCAACTGCTGGAGTCAGCGCGGCCAGACTACAGAAAACGGGGAGCTTGGTCATTCTTGGGCACTTCCCGGGAAAATGAGTTCAACGCCCGAGATTCTTTTTAAAATTCTTAATTTCTGTTGACGTGTTGTTGATTTACAATGTTAGTTTCTTGTGCACGGCAGGGCGACTCAGCCATACACATACGTGTTTTCAGACTTTTCCCATTACAGCTCATTGCAGGAAGCTGAGCGTAGCTTCCTGTGCTGTACGGTAGGTCCTTGCTGTTTATCTATTTCCTATGTAGTAATGCGTATCTATACTCCCAACCTCCTAATCTGTCCTCGTCCCCGATTTGGGCTGAAATTTTAGAAGATAAAAGTATTATGTGCTCATTGTAAATAATTATTAAAGGACAAAAATAAATTTAAAACAAATCAAGTGCCTGGAAACCCTCTGCTTACACTGGGCCCCTTTCATGCTCTCTTACGTTCACCTGGCCAGGCTTTCGTCTGTATCTGAACTCATTTCATACATGCTGGTATCTGAGTGGAGTTGCCGCCCGCGTGTTGGTGGGGCCCCGATGGGAGGACGCGGCTCAGGTCAGAGCCCGCGCTCGTTCACTCCCGACGCAGCCTTGACGCTCAGAGTTTGTCAGTCTCTCCAATTCCAATTTATTAATGAACAAACAACCCCCCCCCACCGCCCCGTGATTTGCTGAGCCGCTGGGTAGGCCTCGAAGTGCAGGAAGCCGATACTCTCCTTATCAGCTCGTCCTGCGAGCAGGTCTGCTGGGTATAGCTGCAGCTGAGCTCAAGCATGGACCATGGGGTTTCTAGAGCCAATGTATTCATTGTCTCTCTCTGACATTGGGTAGCCGTTTTCGACCTGCTGTGCAGAAGAGGGTTAGCGAGCAGGCCCGCCTGCCCCCTCAGAAAGGCCGGCCCGCAAGGCTGGGCGGGGCTGGGGGGGTGCCGGGAGGGTCCGGCTGCCCCTAAATGTTGGTGCAAGTGTGGCTCA